TGTCAAGATTTGTTTTAGAACTTTGTATTGATGGTGACATCACAACGTCTGCAGGAAGGGCATTCCACGGTTTGACCAATCGAACAGAAAGGGAGAACTTCCGCACATCCAGCCTTGCCTGTTGAGTGCGCAGTGTTAACGGGTGACCTCGGAGGTTGGTCGTGGTAGCAAATTCAAAAAAGTCCTCAAAGGCCAGACTGCAATCCAACCCCTTAATAATGCGGAAGGCTTGAAAGAGATTTTCGCGAGGTTGCCTGTAACTCAAAGGAAGGAGGTTTAGATTTGCCGATACAAGCGAAAATGCGAGTTCCAGGAACTAGTTGATCAGAAGCAGAAGCGATCGCTGGAACAATGGCTTTATTCGCCTGACGTTTCGGATTCTCTCTTGAATCCATCATCAGAGACAGTTGCAGAAAAGGGTGGCTAGTGTACAGGCAGTCGCAGTATTTATAGGATGCGGTCGCCATGCTACCGCATACCTACAGCAATTAACCGTGCTCCCTTCATCAAGGATTGTTGCCCGCAGGTGCGTTAATTGCTTGATGGCCGGCATGCAAGTTGTTAATTGCTGACATCTCATCACCCGTGTTGGATGCTGGCGTGATGATCGCTCGGCCATCTGGCTCACGTGCTTGCGTGACCAAGAAAAGGCCAGATGCTGCGATTTCATGGGCGAGAACGGCACAAATCTGCTTCATTAGAAAGTAACTGAACGAGCCCGCGAGCAGAGAGCGACACGCGACGCAGCACTGGGGAACAAATTCCACAAACTGCCTGATCCAACGTCATCCAGAAGCGGCACACTGGTACACAACCTGTCGTCAAAGGAACTGACGAAGGAGCAAGCACAGGTTTTACGGCACGAAGCCTCATTCAACACAGCTGACGCCAAACCTGTCAACATGATTGCAGCAGTGGAATCGGTCATTAATCAGACGGAAGCGGCGGAGGAGACGAAGAATCTTATCCGACACCAAGTTACGTCCCTCCTTATGACTCACAAGCCGCGCGAAACGCTCACAAAGGTCGAACGCCATGCACTAAGAGAACTCAAGGCCGACAAGAACATCGTCATTGTGCCCGCGGACAAGGGGCGTTCCACCGTCGTACTGGACAGAACAGACTACCTTCAGAAGGCCAAAAACCTACTGGAGGATCGCCAGTTCTATGTCCCATGTGAAACCAACCCCATAAAAACGCTGACACGCGAAATTAATGCAACACTGTTGGCACTGGATAACTCGGGTGCAATAACAGCGACCGACCGACGCATGGCGATAGCTCAAGAAACGGCTTTGGCCCGATTCTATGGTCTCCCAAAGGTGCACAAGGAGGGCGCTCCTCTCCGGCCCATTGTTTCGCTCAAAGGCACTCCAACGTACGGACTGGCAAGATGGCTGTTTCGGCGCCTCAAATTTCTGACCGCTGATTCGGACACCACGGTCTGTTCGTCAACGCAATTCCTGGAGAAGCTCAAAGGAGTAAGTCTCTTGCCCAATGAGGTCATGGTATGTTTTGATGTCACGTCCCTCTTTTCTTCTATCCCCCAGGATCTGGCAATCGAGACCGTCCAGCTACTCCTACGAAACAAATACGATGAAACGGAGAATCGTCTCGGACATGCCCAAGTCCTTCAGCTCCTAAAGTTCTGTCTCAGGACATACTTCACGTTTGACGGAACAATCTACGAGCAAGTGAAGGGAACACCGATGGGCTCGCCGATTTCGGGATTCATCGCCGAGGCGGTGCTACAGCGGTTGGAGTCGCTGGTCTTCCAACAACACAGACCGAAATTCTGGGCTCGGTATGTGGACGATACCTTCGTCGTCATCGAACGGGATCAGGTGCTAACGTTCAAAGAACGTCTCAACAGCGTCTTCCCGGACATATAATTCACGATGGAGGAGGAAGAGAATAACCAGCTGGCATTCCTTGATGTCCTCGTCTGTCGCAAAGATTGTGGTGGCCTAAAGACCAAAGTGTATAGAAAAGCAACGAACACGACGCAAATTCTGAACTTCAACAGTAACCACCCAATCTGCCACAAACGCAGTTGCGTAAGAACGCTATTTCGGCGTGTTGAGACGCACTGCAGTGAACCGGAAGACAAGGTTGCCGAATTCCAATATCTTCGACGGGTTTTCCGAGAAAACGGTTACCCGCGCAACTTCGTCAACCAGTGCCTGCGCAAACGAGACGAGCGACAAAATCGTGCCGACCCCAAATTCTGGCGAGCGATCCCGTACATCAAGAACGTCTCCGAGGCCGTTAGCCGCCTTCTTGCACCACTTGGGGTTGGAGTTGCGCACAGACCGGAGGCCACCATGAGGCGTCAATTGATGAGACCAAAAGACCCACTGCCACGGCAAGAAACATCTGGAGTCGTTTACCGGATCTGGTGCAGTTGCGGACAAAGCAACTATGTCGGAGAAACTGGAAGACTGCTCCGGACGCGAATTGCCGAACACGTGGCAGCTGTACGGAGAAATGACGCCAACTCTCAGGTCGCGGCCCATTCGACGAGACCCGGCCACACATTCAAGTTCGATGAGGCCGAAATTCTCGCGAGAGGGGATAACCGCGTGAGCCGCGAGTTGCTTGAGTCATGGTTCACGGGACCTCAGTCTATCAACAAGTGCAACGACATCCCCACTCCATATTCTGTCCTGAGGCATAGACTGGCCAAAGCAATTGACCACCCGAGGAGCGCGCAAGCACGTGAGCCAGATGGCCGAGCGATCATCACGCCAGCATCCAACACGGGTGATGAGATGTCAGCAATTAACAACTTGCATGCCGGCCATCAAGCAATTAGCGCACCTGCGGGCAAAAATCCTTGATGAAGGGAGCACGGTCAATTGTTGTAGGTATGCGGTAGCATGGCGACCGCATCCTATAAATACTGCGACTGCCTGTGCACTAGCCACCCTTTTCTGCAACTGTCTCTGATGATGGATTCAAGAGAGAATCCGAAACGTCAGGCGAATAAAGCCATTGTTCCAGCGATCGCTTCTTCTTCTGATCAGGTTTAGATTTACTAAGCGGGTTGCATAAGGAAAGGAGCTTTGGCTCCCAATCATCTTTGTGGCTCTCCTCTGAACTCTTTCGAGGTAGTTCAGATCCTCAACCGTCCACGGTCTCTAGGCTTGTATGCTGTACTCCAAATGCGGCCGGACAAATGTTTCGAATGTCTTTGAGAAAACATCTTCGTCAAAATTCATAAAGACACGCTTGATGGCGTACAGTACGGACATTGCGCTTTTTGCCACTCTCGAACAACGAGCAGATGGATTTAGGAAGCTCGTCGTCAGCACACCGATGTCCTTTTGGGCTAGGACCTCTTGTAGGGCTGCACGGTCCAGAAAGTAGTCCCTCGTGCTGGTGGACCTGTTTATGTCGCCTAGACGAAGTATGCTACATTTATCAACGTTGAACCACAGGAACCAACGGTTTGACCACTCTTCCAACCGATTTAGGTTCACCTGCAGTCTGTCTTCATCGGCAGGACCCCGAATTACACTCCATATCTTTATATCATAGGCAAACACTGCTACTTCTCGGTCTAAAGCTCCTGCGGCACCGTGCCAAAATGGGCCCCAATACTGAACCTTGGGGCACACCACTCTCGGCGATAGCAGGATCCAATTTCCCTTGACCGATGCACCCAAGCTGGTGTGAACGCAAAATGAAGGTGTCGATCCATTTGAGGAAGTTGCTGCCGATCCCTAATTTTTTAGTTTATTTAAGAGCCTCTGGTGTGGCACGGTATCAAACGCCTTCTGGAAGTCGATGAAGGCTATGTGGACCGCGTGCCTGTCGTCGAGAGCTTGGGTCCAGCTCTGGAGAGGTTGCAGCAAATTTGTCGTGCAGGATCTTTCTTTCCGGAACTCATGTTGGCATTTCGATATCAGGCCGCGAACTTCTAGGAATCGCATCAGTTCACTCTTTATGATCCGTTCCACAACTTTGCAGAGAATACATTTCAAACTTATGAGCTTGTAGTTTGTCGTCGCTGCCCTGCTACCTCCTTTGCAAAGTGGAGTACTATGCGCCAGCTTCCAGTATTCAAGTGTCAAATGACGTTTGAAAGAGCACTGAAAAGGCACAGAAAGCTCACTGGCAAGTTTCTTTAGAAGCTTGAGTTAAATCTCGTCTGGTTCTGGCGACTTCGATTCGTTCAATGCCTCTAATTCTCTTCGGACAGTGGCTTCTGAGAAGAGTATATCACTGACGATTCGGGTCGGCAGTTCTTCTGTGGAGAGAAAAAGAAACCTTGCATCGTTTATGTGAACTGATAGTAAAAAACTATGAAAAATACGCAGCTTTACTCTTATTAACAGCAATCTCAACGCCATCAGTAGTCCTTATTAAGGGGATTTGATGCCTGTTCCCAGTACTTCGTTGGAGGTAGCTGCAGAGTAATTTTGGGTTCTGCGCTGCTTTTTGTATCAATTTCTTTTCGAATTCCCACGGCATTTTTACAATCATTTTTTTTAGTTTGTTCCTCTGCGTCTTGTAGGTGTTAAAATATTCAACTTGCCCAGTGACGCAGTATTTTCTCCACAATTTGCGCTTCCTGTTGATTTCTTTCGTAAGGTTGCTATTTAGCCACCCAGGGCGTTCGTCCAGTCTTACGCTAGTCAGTGGGCAGTGGTTGTTGATGAGCTGCAGAAGGACATTCTTGAACAGCTTCCAGCCATCCTTGGCACAACCCGTAAACAATGAGCCCCAGTCGACACCGGATAAGTCTGCTCCATCTGATTAAATTTGCCCCGTCAAACATTGCGTCTATTTTGGTGTGAAGTATGCGAAATGGAGAAAAACCAATAATCTCACATAAGCACTACATGACCACTTCGACCAAGGGGCGGGATGGAGGTGATCTCGTCAATGCTTTCTGGTGTTTTCGTAAAAACCAGATCAAGGCAGTTTGCCCTTTGTTCTTTACGTGTTCTCATTGGGAGCATTACATGTTGTGTGAGGGACGCCGTTAATGTTTTGTTCAGCAGACGGTAATCGAATGCTGATTTTGGACTTGACGCTTGGAGGGTGTACCAGTTTGTTCCTGGTGCGTTGAAGTCGCCCATGATCATGATGTTAAGTCGATTGGAAAATTCCTCCAACTGCGCCAATAGTTGAGTGTCGACGATTTGGTCTGTCCTAGGTGGTCGGTAGACAGTGTGGACCTTGAGACACGGGGAACCGGTAGCCGCACGCTAACTGGGTGGCGTTTTCCGACACTGCCAGGCACTCATTCACGTACACAACTACACTACCGCCTGACGATGCTCCCTGTCCCTCCGATAAATTTGGCATCCAGGCAAGACTATTTCGCTCTCGCTAATATTCCCGGAAAGCTAGGTCTTGGTTACTACTAAAACATCTGGAAACAGCTCGATAAGGCAAAGTTTCAGCTCATCTAGTCTCGAAATGAGGCTTTGGGCATTCGTGTACAAGTACCTCAGTTTTGCACAAGCCGAATTTCCGGTTTCATTCGTCACTGTTTTGAGCATTACTCTGATATTTTGGAGGCCATTTTCTCTGGGCACTTCCGTTACCTGATGGGTTCCATTAATATCGGATGTTTAAGTCAGCACACTGGAGGTTTAGGACATACTTATGTTGTCGCATTGAGCAGGTGGTTCCACGAAGGTGTCTGTGTTAGCTGAGTAGCTGCCGTCATACTTAGTTTTACTGACTGGTTTCCCTGAAACGGAATATATTTCCGAACTACCTTCCCTTGAAGATTACCAGATTGTTTTCGCCCTCCTTCAGTCTCGATTTTAACTCCAAGACTAGTTCCCGGCGTTTCAGTCGTTCCACTGGCGAATAGTTTGGTCGAAAAAAACCTGTTTGTTTGTGTTTCTGAGGTCGGTTTTTTGGAGAGAATCAACTTGATTTGCTTTTTGTTCTCCAGCATAATTTTGAGAGGGCGAGGTGGTAGTGCTGCTATCCTGTCTTCACTCCTTTTTCAAATCCGGAATGCCATCAGAACCTTTATTTCCATGTTTGCCTGGAGTAACTGATTTAGTAGATCATGAAAAGAAGCAAGGTCCTCCGAGACACGGTCTTCAGGTTTGACAGCATTCGATTCCGACAAGCCCCGAATAACCAGACACTGCTGGCGAGCATGGTCCTCCTTACTTTGTATTTCCGGTGAATTCGCTGCATGTGGGCGAGGACGATTTGCGGAGTCGTCGCTTGGACGCACACTTTTGCTGTCGTCCGACTGTCCCGAACAACCCATCAGGGCCGGTTGTGACCTCAGATTCCTGTCATGGCGTTTCCCTCTGCCCCCTACCAACGGGTTCATGTCTTCGCATTCAGATACGCGCTTTGTAGGGCGATCGGGGTGGTTGCGAAAACAAGAGGACAACAGTAGACTGGATGACCCAGTTATATCGTCTCCAGGCAAAAGAGAAATTCCATCACTTACAGCATGAGGCTTAGGCGAGATTTCTTCCGTGCCAGGTAATTTTTCTGTGACATCGCTTAAGACATCTTGCGTGAGAATCGAGTATGCCATTACCGGCGGTTTCGTCTTAGTTGTCCTGCTGTTACCGGCATCTGCGGTTTTAGCTACTGAGTAACAACCCTTGTTTGATGATTTCTCCGAGGAGACATTTTTCGCGTTTTTTGAGTTTTGAGTTTTTTGAGTTTTTGGGACTCTAACACTGGAGACGTTCTGGTCATCGAGGGTTTGTTTCATGAGCGTTGTTAAATCAGCAAGCGCATTCTCGAGTTGTTCTATTCTAATTTGGATATATGCGCACCCAACACAATGTTCGTCTCCGTACCTCACACAATTCGTGGTAATAACGCTTTTGACCCCCTTTGTTGGTCGTTGGCTGGAAGCGCCGGTAGAGCGAGCACAGGTTCCGGATGCGAAGGA